TTCACTATATCATTAAATTCATTAAACACAATTAGTTAATAAATAATTTGTAACATAAAGTATTACAATAATATTCGTCATATTGTAATTATTTTAATATTGATTTTAAAAAATATTTGTATAAATAATTTATTTTTTAATTATACTGATGTATTTGAAATAATGCAGAAATTAAAATACTGTATTTGAATATGTTTAAATTAAATATAATATTTTGTGTAACTACTTATATCAAATGATAAAACTAACCAAGGTGATCACAGATGTTCATAAAAATTAACTGAAAATTATTTATTACAAATGACTTATTAAAAATATTAATGGTAAATACTATCTTTAAACTATTGTTGACTTCTTTATAAATAACTTAAAACTATAATAAAGTATGTAAAATATGTTTAGATTTAAATTATAAATGATAAATCAAATATTTAGTAGAATTATTAAAATATCCATAATGACTAAATAATCTATTAATTATAAAAAGTTAAATTATTAATTATAAATATAAAAAGTTACCCTGAAAAGTACCAAATTCAATAATTTTGTACTAATCTTTATAATGCTTTATAAATATAACCTTGATAAAAATGAATTATTTGAACTGAAAAATATTAGTGCTTAAAGTATAAATATATCTGTTGAAACAATTTAAACCAGCAATTATGGATTGCAAAAATATTGATACTTTTTATATAGATTTGTATCCATTGAATCATTTAAAAAGTAATAAATCGGTTGTCCATAATTGTGGGTTTATATTGCGGTATTATAACAGATATTACTTTACTAATCAAGGTCGTATAAGTTCATTATTCATGTACTGTATACAGTATTTTCAGTACAATTTAGTATGTTTTAGTATTTAAAGGAATAGTAAATGGGAAATTTCTTTATACAAAATAATCTTCACAAACATCTCATACCTCTTAATATTTTTAAATATTATATAAGTATTTGTGAAAATGTTTTTTGTAAATAAGTTTCACTTAATTGTGTCAATACTTTCATTGCAATTGTGTTCACAACTGATTCGTAGTGAAAGTGATGATACAATAGCCGTTACACTGAAAAGCGGTTCAATTAATGGCAAACGTATGACATTTGACGGCAAAGAGTTGTCAGTGTTTTTAGGCATCCCTTACGCCGAACCCCCGGTCGACGGACTCCGGTTCCAGAAGCCACTGCCCGTACGACACATACCCGACCCATACGATGCCACTCAATGGCCTAAGGCTTGTGTTCATCAGAAACTACACCAAAACTACTTAAACCAAGAGATGAGCGAAGACTGTCTATACCTCAACATTTGGTCGCCATCTCTACCAGAATCTACCGGTGCTCTCAAACCAGTCATGTTTTGGATACACGGCGGTGGTATGATAGTCGGGTCGTCCGTCGAAAAGTGGTATTCCGGTCACGTGTTGGCAGCCATGGGTGATGTAGTTGTGGTCACATTCAACTACCGGCTTAACGTATTTGGTCTGTTATATACCGGTGCCAAACACGCCGGTGCTCCCGGAAATATGGCGCTATGGGATCAGGCGCTGGCACTGGAGTGGGTGGTCGACAACATCGCCTATTTCGGTGGCGACCCCAATAGTATTACTGTGTTTGGCGAGAGCGCCGGTAGTATATCCACCAGTTTTCACATACTGTCCCCAATCACCAAAAACCTGTTCCGAAGGGCTATTATGATGTCGGGCTCCGCCACTAATAATGTATGTAAACCCGAGGCCCTCGAAAGGGTTTGGTATAATCGGGCTGTTAGTAGCGGTTGCGGTAAAGATAATGAAAATCCGGGACAATTTACGCCTGAAATGATTGAGTGCATACAGAAAGCACCGGCAGATCTGTTTCAAACCGAAAGGGATTTCGGTCGCAGTCCTTGTGATTTGGATTTCCTAATAGACGGACAGTTCGTACTCAAGAATCCCATCGAAACCCTTACGTCGGGTGACTATCGCCAGGATTTGGATCTACTGATCGGAACAGTAGATAACGAGGGCAGTATGTTTATGGCACTATTTATTGACCCTGTTGCTTTTGACAAGTGGAAACCTCGTCCGATTAGCTATGACCAAGCTTATAATTATGTGATTGGGTTTATAACCGCTTATCAGACGTTGACAGGTGGCGACACTAGTATTGATGCAAAACTTGTGGCCGACTTATACTTTACCGGACTGTCCAATAATACCGGTGCAGACATACTGTTACAGACTATCGGTCGCACGTTCGGTGACTACCGACTTACATGTCCGACCAAACTGTTTGCTAAGGGTATCCATAAGGGGAGTGAGAGGTCCCGGGTTTATGAGTACTACTTCAACACTAAGTTTACAGCCGGCGCTCAACTATTCTGTTCCGATTGGATGGGTGTCTGTCATTTCGATGACATCT